CACATCCACACTGCCATGTGCTTTTGCGCAAGAGATGTGCTTTAGTGCAAGAGCATCCATGGCAGTGTGGACGCTCTCTTGTGCAAGAAGCCTCTGATGGCCATTTTAATGATGGGGGCTTCTTGAGCAAGAAATTCCTGTTGCCTGTCTACACTGCCCTCTTGAGGAAGAGCTCTTGCGCAAGAGGGCTTATTCCTCGTGGGAAGAGGAATCCCTCTTCCGGAATAAGCCCTGTTTTACAATGCTATACTGTAAATTTACTTGTGCAAGAACACTTGTGCAGTGTAGACAACAGGCAAGTTTTTGTGCAAGAATGGCTGTTCTTGCGCAAGAAGCTGCTAGTGTAGACATAGCCCTAGTGTGTGCCAGTCAGCTATCCAAGGGCCAGTCAGTGTCACATACTTTGGTGCACTTTAGAACTCACATCCTTTCAGTGCACATAGCTGCTCTTTGCAGACAAGCTCATGGGCTCAGTGTGGCAATGCTTGAATTTTAGGCACCCTACTGGCCACTGGAATCTGCAGGCCCATGTTAGGCACCCAGGCTCCCTGTACAATACCAGGGGAGAGGGAATTGCCAAAGCATGGGATTCACAAAAGCCAGCACACTGTGTAGGCATCTGCCTCAGCTAGCCAAAAGGAAATGCAGAGAAGAAGGGTGGGACTTATCCCATGGCCCACTAAGGACATTAGGCCTCTCCTTCAGTTTGGGATTTGGATTTTAGCCAATGGGTCTGGTACATATCCACTCACCACCCTGGAGCTATATTCAGGCCCCCACTCCAAACCCCTTCTCTCTATGTAAGAAGTTGATGTGGAGTAGGGGAATTGAGTCCTGTTAGCTTGCTCCTCTTTGGCAAAGTCCATTTCCACCTATGCCTCGATTTGTAACTATTTTGCGGGCTTCATGGTATTCCTGGTCCTAGATCCTCAAAGCCCCCATTCAGTTGCCACATACTACTGTGCAGGGTTGCCAGGTTGTCTGGTTTTGAACTGGACAGTCCAGTATTTGAGCTTCCTGTTCAGGAAACAAATTGAGAAAATAAAAATGTCCAGTATTTTCTAAATAAGATGTAATGTCGATTGTAATGTAATGTCAAGTGTGTTTTTGTTGAAACCATCTGGCAACCCTATTCCTGTGGGTGCCCACATTTCCTAGGCACCAAAGTGTAATTTAGTAAAGTGTCCTATGTGCCTACATTTCTTCTACAAGGCATGGCCTGATTGATGGGGGAAATATTGAGAAGCAGGAGCGCTGAGCTGTCTTTGGTGCTGTGTAATATACAATGAAATTTGAGGAAGCCACCTGCTCTGCTTATCCACCTTGTCCCCACATGAAAATGGATGAAAAATGCTTGCTAAAGATTATGACAAACTTTCTTGTGCTTTGATAGCTCTTGAAAATTTAACAGGCTGAATTGTCAGTCCTTTTCTTGGAATTTTGCTAGGGTTGCAGCCAGTTCTGTTCCTTACCAGGCCATGTCTTCTCATTATTCGCTTTATTAGCTCTTTCTCAGTCTCATCTACCAGAATTTGGTTCCATAAACAATAAGACCTCACCTACCATGCCTCTGACAAATCCTGGGGCCAGCATGGCTACTACAACACTACAGTTTATGGACATCATCACAGATTAAAGCCATAAGGATTTCAGTTCACTTATACGTTGAAATTCATGGATGCAGTTGTCTCAAAACAGGTCTGGAAACAGCAGTTTCAAAAACTTCTCTGTAAAAAGCATCTGAACAATTCATGTGTCTTGGGCTATTACTACACTACCAGGTTAAGAACATAAGAACATAAGAATTTGTAATTTTGAAATAAGATTATTCCTTTCCATAAGCAGGAGTTATTATTTTGGAAAAAAGCCCATTATTTTGAAATAACAGGCTTGGTGGTATGGACTCTCACCTTGTGATTTTGAAATAAAGGGAATTATTTTGAAATAAATCCACAATGTAGACATGCCCTTGGAAAAGGAATTCTGTATTCCACACAGTTCTTGCTGATTTGTTCTTTTTCTGTTTCATAATTCATATCATCTTGATTTTCCTTTGCAGCAGATAATTTGTGTTCATTTCACATTTGGATCAGGATTTAACATCTTTATGTATTAACAGTGTAATGTGTCACTTTCTGATGCGGAGTGGGAATGGTTATTACAGACCTTACTGGTAGGATTAGCAGCCAATTTTGTTTTCAAAATCCTCTGTGAAGCCAGGAAATCCTCAGCTTAATGGATTTTTTCATGTTCTCATAATGAATTTGATCATGGGAATTATTAAATCCTGCTGCCTCTAATTCTTTATTTCCAAACAGACTCGAGAGCTGTAAAAAATGAAATCATTTTAATAATTTATGAAAATTAGCTTGATAAATATTAAGAAGCAAATTAATACAGGCTTGGTGTGGGGTGGCAGGATGGTCTAGTGAAGAGGGTACCAAAAGAGGGGCCAGTTCCCCCTCGTTTCATGGGAGCTGGGCGGTGTCCCATTGGAAGGGGGGAATATTGTCTCAGTGAGTTCTGAGAGCTTTCATGGGTGATAGATTCCTAAAAGTGGACAGGACGACATTGTACTTAAAAAACTTTTTGTTATTACCTTTTGAGTTTTTGGCTAGCTGTTCTTCAAACTCCTTTTTGGCTTTTCTTATTACATTTTTACATTTAATATGGCAGTGTTTATGCTCCTTTCTATTTACCTCACTAGGATTTGACTTCCACTTTTTAAAAGATGTCTTTTTATCTCTCACTGCTTCTTTTACATGGTTGTTAAGCCACGGTGGCTCTTTTTTAGTTCTTCTACTATGTTTTTTAATTTGGGGTATACATTTAAGTTGGGCCTCTATTATGGTGTCTTTGAAAAGCATCCATGCAGCTTGCAGGGATTTTACTTTAGTCACTGTACCTTTTAATTTCTGTTCAACTAACCTCCTCGTTTTTGCATAGTTCCCCTTTTTGAAATTAAATGCCACAGTGTTGAGCTGCTGAGGTGTTCTTCCCACCACAGGAATGTTAAATGTTATTATATTATGGTCACTATTTCCAAGTGATCCTTTTATAGTTACCTCATAGACCAGATTCTGCGTGCAACTCAGGACTAAATCGAGAATTGCTTCTCCCCTTGTGGGTTCCTGTACCAGCTGCTCCAAGTAGCAGTCTTTTAAGGTATCAAGAAATTTTGTCTCTGTATCTCGCCCTGAGGTGACATGTACCCAGTCAATATGGGAATAGTTGAAAAGAAACCAACGCAGATATTTTCAATATTTATTAGTTAGACTGCAGTAACAGCCTTTATACAGCACAATTTGCATAAGTTCTCAAGATACATCCTGTATACAATCACAAAACCGTAACATGGATTTATACATAAAGTGGAAACGGAGACAAATTTACAAGCATTTTCTTTTTACAGTTCTCATACTGCTTTTGTCTCAATTTATACAACTTTTAGAACAAGTTTGTTTTGTTTTTCTGAGAGAATTCGGAAGCAAAATAAAACAAAAAAAAATAACAAACCACCATTAATGCATGCAACATTCATTGCAGAAACATTACATTTTCCCAAGAACTACTCTTGTGTTGTTTGTTTTTTTAGAGTATTTTGGTAGATTTTTTTAAACATTGGGTATACTGTACACATAGTCTGCCAGCATGACAGCACACACGCTAGTCAGCTATTGCTGAGCACCTGAGCACGTCACTGAACAACTATACAAGGTACAGTCAAATAATGCTCACATTCACATGCTTGGATGCCAGATGGACTTCATAATTCAAACTTGATTTGTCATACAAAAATGTATACTTATTTACAAAATAACAAATTAAGAAAACTGCTTTCTCTCAAATTACCTAGTCTGAGTTATGGATATATATATATATAATATATTATAATTTTGAGCTCATCAGTATATTATTAATTAATCTTCTTTTAAAAAAAGAATAAACCAGAACATACAGAAAACATCAAAATGCATCTTATGATTTAAAGAGAGAGTATCCGGCTTTTCTTTATTTTTTCTACTTTCTTACTAAAGGCAACTAGTAATTCAAAAAGACAGTTCAGTCCTTCAGCCCCGGTGCAACCAGGAATGCAGGACTGGGACCCAAATGTGATGTAGGTGTATACATAAACTGAACTACCTCTCTGTTTCATTACTACTTCAAGTTTCAGTCACACAGATGCAATTTTTTCTCTTATACATATATGTATTTACATATCAAGATAGATACTTAGTGGAATCTGGGATACAGACACTGTAGCCATGAAAATAAAGTACTTAAAAATATTGTCAGTTATGATTCAAATAATAAGATTAAAAAAATACTATTAACATCTTTATGATATCTCCATGAAACTAAATGCTAATTAAATCTGCTCTATTGGGCACACTAGCTTCTTCTCCAGCAGTCATCATAATCATCATTCTTAGAGTAAGAATCAATATCAGCTGGTTACCAGCTACAATACCCCCCACAATATAACCATTGGAACACCTATATAAATGTCCAGAAAATTAACTCTACCAATTCCTAGGTCTTGATCCAAGCCACTCTGAAGTGAATGGAAAGATTGCCATTGACTTCAACAGACGTGGATCATGTCCTTATTACTTCCACTGACAGCTGATGTAAAAAATGAGGGTGATAATAAAGATGGAGCATTCATATTTCCCCTGGATACTATCCCTTTAAAGTGTAATGATACGGTACTAGCTCAACATTCATCATAGAAACTCTCATGTCT